TAACTTTCTATTTATCCATTCTCTTAATGATGGTATTCTTCAAAACTTCATTTCTGGATGAAAACAAGGAATTTGGAAACTGCATTGATATGCTTTGCATATTCCCTGGTGGCCCTAGCAATAGCATATATAACAGGTACATATGTCGTATTGGCCAATTCTTCTGGGCTTGCCATTGTAGTTTGTGTAATCTCCTGCTGCTTCGATTTAATTAATTACTTTCTTATGGGGAATTTATATATTCTTTTACACTAATAACGAAGTTTTGTCCATGGTTTCTTATTTGATGGCTCAAGAGTAATGAAGGCCAATCAAAGTTGAAGGCAGCTGAAGTCCTCCCAATTCCCAAACCGGAGAGGTTCCTCTTCCTTTTTTTTCTTTTTTTTTTTTGTAAAACTAAGAAGCATAACCCATGACATTAAAATTTGTGTGAGACTGGTGAATACACCAAAAAATAAATTAGTAATGGCTTTGTATTGGTAAATTAGGTGAAACTTTATTTGGAACAAGACTTATTATCTTTGTTCTTGTGTGATTTCTGCGAAGTCTGTATAAACCTTATGCAGGTTATGGCCTTCATTTAATTTTTAAACCAGCATTTCATTATTGTTTTTCTTTATTTATGTATTTTCCTTTTCTTTTCTTTCCCCACTCCCACAAATTTCTTCTATATCCAGTCCAAGTCGCGATCAGCTTCAATGCTCACAAGACCATTTTCATAGGGTTCGCACAGCCTAATACAGTTGTGCATTAGGAATATCTCTGTACTTGTATGCTTTTTTCATGGAGAGAGATTCTCAATGCAAAGTTGCAAGGCCCTGTGCCAATGGTGTGAGTAGGGGCTTGTGAGCATTAAAGCAGATTTCATCCAATTCATGACACAAGGAGTACAAAAGGTAGGATTTTGAGAAAAATGGACTGAGAAGGTTTGGATCTATTACAAATTCTTTTTAAAGAAGCGCTAGAGAGTGATACTTTGCATTTTATTTTATTTTATTTTTTTTTGGGGGGGGGGAGTTAAACAAGAAAATGACATATGGAGTAAAAGAGGTAGGGTTTTGAGAAAAATGGACTGAGAAGGTTTGGATCTATCTATTACAGATTTTTTTAAAGAAAAATAAACAATTTCTTTTAACTTTGGGAGTTGGAGGAGCGTTTAGAGAGTGATACTTTGCATTTTAATTCTTTTCTTTATTATTATTATTATTTTTTTTTGGGAGGGAGGGAGGGAGGACCCACTTTATTATAGTTTTGACCTTGCCTCCAATTAGCCATATAAACAATGGTTTTAACAAAAAGTTTGGAAAGAGTACAAATACAAATATATACAGTATAAATACATACAAAATAATGCAAAATACAAGGCTTTGCACTCTACAAATTTGTATTTGTATTCCTTCCAAACTGAGCCTTATGGGTTGAATCTAATATAGCAAGGACATGACAAGAAATCAAATTGTGTTCTCCAAATGAAGACTGGGGTAAAGATTTAATACTACAATGGTGCAAATAGAGGTCGACCATGTTAGACAAGACATAGGTTGGTTGTAATAGAAAAGAGCCGGTTATCCAACATGGCAAGAATCACGTGGTTAAATGAGCTGGCCATTTGTATCTATAAATACACTTCAAACCTTCAAACAAAAGGCACCTTTTTCTTACATTCGGTATTATTTTACATAGTATAGTCCATTTCTTTCTTTCCGCCACTAGCACTCTACAACAACTAATGCTCATGGCATTGCCATCTTCTTCAACGAGAGAAACAACAATGGTAACCTCTGATGAATTGGAAACAATCCAGGAGCCATTTTTGTTTCTCCCCCACTCACAAGAGATGATTTCTTCACTTGGTAGAGTGCAGTGAAAAACACTCTCCAGGCCAAGAACAAATACAAGAAGATCATGGATGGTTTGATTCCTCGACCACTAAGCTCATCGCCAAATGAAGAATTTTGGTTGAGTTGGAATAGTATGATCATTTCTCGAATTATTAACTCCCTATTGAAGGATCTTTAGCAGAGCATTGCATTCATTGAATTAGCATCCGAAATTTGGTTAGAACTAAAAGAAAGATATCTCGGGCCACAATATCCCCTACTTCAAAGGTTTGTGAGATGAATTAAACCTCCTGATCTCTACTCACGACTGTGAATGTAGTAGATCAATAAAGATTCTTATGGAAAAACATGAAATAGAGGGACTCCACCAATTTCTTATGGGTCTCAACGATTCTTTCAACATGATTCGATCTAGCATCCTTGGATCTAATCTACTACCTAGCCTGAGCAAGCTTATGCACTCTTCATTTAGGAAGAACATCACTAGCAAACTTTGTCTCTCCGATCACTACTGACTTTAGAAGCAATGCAAATTTTCACAAAAAATACTTCTTGACAAAAGCACCACCAAACCGAAGTAAATACTTATGTGATCACTACCAAAAGCCTGGTTACATGGAAGAATGATGCTATGAATTAGTTGACTATCCAAGCAATTGGGACAAAAATCATCGTTCAAAATCAGACAAACTAAAGGCTAATCATTATAACTCATATGCAAAATCTTGCGTCACTAATCCTCCACCAACGAACCCCATTATCTCTCCTGTCATGGGTCTCAATTTGCAACAATAGAACCAGCTTTTCTCTATTCTTAGCCAGTTGTGAATCTTTGTATGCTTCTGCCAATCTTTTCGATAAGACCGTTCCCCTCATTCACTGGATATTAGATAGCAAAGCTTCATATCACATTGTTTGATCTCATTCTCATTTCTCACATGCAAGATTAGTTCATCTAAATGGCAACATTATCTGTTTCTTGCCAAGGAATTATTCCACTAATAGACCATGCTTTCATTATCGGTGCACTCTATGTCCCTGAATTTCATTATAATTTACTCTTTGTAAGCAAACTAACACAACAATTTCATTGTGTTGTTCAATTTTCCCCACCTGTTACGTCCTTTAGGATCTAACCTTGAAGAAGCTGACTGGTGTGGGTAACCTTTGAGGAGGCCTCTATTACTTCTTTTCTCCCACCACAACATCAGACCCTTCCACTGTGGTACATTCATCCACTACTTCCTCTAATTACGTTCAATGACATCAATAAATTGGCCATGCTACTCGTGACTATCTTGCCCATATTCCTAGAGTCTCTATAGCTGGTCCTAAACACTATTGTGATGCTTGTCACCGAGCAAAAATGCCATAGCTTCCCTTTCCCCATAGTTACATTCACTTCCTCTCCATTTGAATTGATACATTGTGACATTTGGGGGGCTTATAGAACCTCATCGTTTTCTGGTGCTCATTATTATTTTATTAGTAGTAGATGATTTTACAAGAAGCGAATGGATATTTATGATAGTAAATAAACCACAAGCAACTCAATTATTTATTGGTTTCTATACTATGGTTGTCAAACAATTTCACCATGATGTCCAACAGGTCAGGAGAGATAATGGGTTTGAATTTTTAACTCACCCATTATAGAAATTCTTCTTACAATAGCAATCTTGCATAAACATGCCACAACAAAATGACATGGCTAAACGCAAGCACCATCGTCTCTTATAAGTAGCTTAAGCTCTCCAATACCAAGCCCATTTACCTCTCAAATTTTGGGGTGAATGCTTACTTACAACAACTTTTCTCATCAACTGTACACCTACACCATTGCTCTCTAACAGGTCACCCGTTGAAGTGTAACACGGTTATGCTCCCTCATATGACACTTTACGAGTATTTGGTTGTCTTTGTTATGCACAATTTTGAACTCACCTACTTGATAAAAAGATTTTTTTTCTCATGGAATGTTGTCTTCCACAAGGATGTATTCCTATTTCAATCTGGCCTCAATTGATTCCCTTGATGATGAATATATAGCAGTGCCATTACTTGTGGTTGATAATGGACTATAGTCCAACCCACCTATTAAGGATGATGAATCATAAGGATTATACAACTTTGCACAAGGTTGTGTAGAACAGTAAGCTCAAAATCATGAAATTACCGATTAGAGGAGACTTTGTGTTGGTCAAAATCGTAAAAGAGGGCGATAAAATCCCGAGTCCCACTTATCTGGCTATCCAGAGAAGATTCTTTGAAATTGTGGAGTTCTTGGTATGACAGATCCTAATCACATTATCTAAATTTGAATCCAAAAAATTGAGTGACATTGGGGCTTAAAAAATTGAGTGATATTGTATATTATGAACAAATTAATTGAATGGAAAATCACTTGTACAAACTTGAATTTATAAAAATTTAGTAAAAATATCAAAAAAATAATAAAAACACAACATTCAAATTATCTTTACTAATAGATACAATATAAAATTACAATGGGAAAATTCCACTTCAATACCCTAAACTTTGGGGGTAGTGTCAAGTTAGTACCCGAGCTTTTAAATTTTTCACTGCAGTACCTAAACTTTTAAAAAGTGTTAAGTTGGTCCCTATTGTAATCAGTCATCAATTATCTATTGAAAATGTTAAAACTACCATTCAAAGGAAGATACTATTCATTATCTTCTACCTTGAGACTAAATCAGTTGAGGTATTTGAGATTCTAGACTAATGAAGTCATTGTCTTCTACCTTTAGATCTGAAACACATTCTTGTCTAGTTATTTCTTTGTTTTCAGTTATTGTTTCCCTTTGTCATATTTTATGTTTTTTTTCTCTTTTTCTTTGAAGATAACTGGTTCAATTTTCAAGATAAGGAACAATGACTTTTTTTTGAAAAGTAACTTTAACCTTTTCAACAAGTCAATTAACACTAGGAACTAACTTGACACTTTTTAAAAATTTAAGTATTGAAAAAACACGTTTAAAAATTTGGGTACTAACTTGACACTACCCAAAATTCAGGTAGTAAAATGGAATTTTCCCCATCGTAAATTTTAAAAATTTTAAGTGCATATATATAAGTCAAATTGAATCGGATTTTATCATTCGATGGCGCATATTTATTCGAATTCGAATTCGAATTCGGACAATTGGATACCTTTGCAGCCAGCCCTATTTTGGGTTTCCCTTCAAATTATCAGCGTTGTAGGCTATAAGCGTTAAACCCTACTCAAAGGGAAAACCCTCTTCTTCCCTCGTTTCCTCCCCTCTTTCTCCGATCACTTCTGCTCCCTTCAGGAGCGCCACCCACCTGAGCTCTGTGTTTCTTCTCTGCAAATAAATAAACAGAAGCAGCAATTCGAGCCTCGTAAAGTTGAAGTAATAGCTGGAGCAGGACTCTCACCATATGGTCATATAACATGATTCAGTTCTTCTTCCTTTTGAGCTTCTCTGAACTATGAGTTACATGCACAAGCTGCAGCTCATTCATTCCATTTGCGCTAGTTAGGCCACTAGTACCTACTAGCTACTTCTTTTTTGTTACTGAAGTACGAGAGCCAATGAAGGCGGCTTTGATTTCTTTTCAGAAATTCGTTTCACCAGAACCATGAAAGTGATTCTTACCAGTCTAAATATTCAGGTATACTTAGAGATTTTTCCGTTCTTTGACATTTATTTTACCATCTGCCACCGAGAATTATCGTTGGATGAACATTGGCCATCTGTTTCTTTGTAGAATTTGAAATGATTTTCTTATTATGCAGGGCTCGTATCTTCATAGACGCATATCCACTTGTGTTTCATTTCAGTTTATCTGAAAAGAAATGTTTTTTTTTTTTTTCTTTTCACTTTGATTCCAATCGTTTTCTTCAGACTTTTAAACTGAAATTTGTTTCACAGGTTTTTATCTGCGTTTCTTTTATTGTTTTCCTTACATTTCTATGGAATTTGTTTGTCGAGGTCCCCCCTCACTTAGAACTCGATTTAATATCTTTATCTTTGTCTTCTTTTCCTGCTTTTCGACATCTTAGATTTTCTACTGCAAAGAAGGTCCATTGGGGGTATTTAAGTGATTATCTTATGGGTTTCTTGACCCACCATATTTTTCAGTTGTTTTACACTAAGAAAGTGATGCATTGTTCTTCTGTGGTGTTCCCATTGGGCTTCCTTTTAATGTTGTTAACTTCTAGTGTTTTTTGTCCAGATTCTTTGTTTAGTAGCTTCTGGCTGTTCATGAGGGCTTCTTCATTCTCAATCATCAATGGTAATATTGGAAGACTGAAACTGCTTTGTGGGAAAAATAGAAAACCTCAATTCTTTCCATTTAGGAGTTTAGCTTCACCTTGCTCATCTTTCTCAGAGGATGAAGATTTTGTTCCTGAATGTTCCAACTCTTTTGACGAGAACTTTGAAGAGAATATTGAATGGGGTTTGGTTAAATCTATAGAATATAATGGACTATATCTTAACGGGAAGGCTATTGATGATTTTTCTGTCAGGAACCCTTTAGGTTTTGTGAATGAGAGAGCTGATGAGTTAAGCATGAAAAGAATAAAAACTATTCTCTCAAAGCGAGGTTGGCTTCTTAATGTTGGCAAGGAGCATGGTTTTGACCTCAACCCATGGAATGTTACCCGGATTTTGAATGATTTGTTTGATGAGAGTTTAGATGCTGCACTTTCTTTCTACTTCTTCAAATGGTGTGAAACCTGTACTGGCTCTAGGCATGCAATTAGACCAATTTGTGCAATGATAAATATTCTAATTTTAGGAAACATGAATTACAGGGCTGTGGACCTTATTTTTGATCTTGTTGGAAATAAGGATGGAGGAGAAGAATGGCATAATTTAGTATTTAAGGGTCTTGAAGAAACCTGTAAGGATAGAAGGGTTACCGAAACTGTACTTAATATGCTTGTTAACTCATATGTCAAGGAAAACATGACAAAAACAGCAGTTAACATATTTTATAAAATGATAGAGATTAACATTTTACCTACACTTGGGGTATGTAATTCTCTTCTAAAGGCATTGTTAAATTCAAAGCAGATGGAAATGGCCTGGAAAGTATTAGGAGAGATATTGAACCTAGGACTAGGTCTTAATGTTTCTTTTATGAGCCTATTTGTTCATGAGTATTGTGCTGAAGGTAGCATTAAAAATGCTTGTAAATTGATTGCTGAGATGTGGAATTACGGATTAAAGCCTGATATTGTTGCATACACAATTGTGACTAATGCCCTCTGCAAAATAGGTCACTTAAGAGAGGCCACTTCTATATTATTCAAAGTGATTCAGATGGGTATTTCTCTTGATTCTGTTTTGATAACTTCAGTTATTGATGGTTATTGTCAAGTGGGTAGGTTGGAGAAAGCAGTCAATGTTTTAAAAGTTTCTGGTTTTGGTCCAAATCTTTATGTGTACAATAGCTTTATCTCAAAGTTATGTAGAGATGGTGAAATGGCTGAAGCTGCTAATCTTTTTTCTGAGATGTCTGGTTTGGGCATGTTTCCTGATTGTTGTAACTACACAACTCTTATTGGGGGGTACTGTAAAGTTGGTGAAATGGAAAAAGCACTATTGTATTTAGGGAAAATGTTGAAGAGGGGACTCAAGCCATCTGTTATAACATATAGTGTTTTGATTGATGGCTACTGCAAGAGTGAAGATTTGGAAAATGCAGAATATTTGTTTTCAGTGATGCAAAGAGCAGGTCTAAAACCTGACATTGTTACATACAACACAATAATGGATGGATATGGAAAAATGGGCCACCTTCATAAGGTTTTTGATTTGTTGCACATGATGAGATTGGCTGATATTAGTCCAGATGTTGCAACATATAACATTATCGTCAGTGGTCTTGCCAAAAGAGGCTTTGCTAAGGAGTCAAAAGAGATCTTAGAAGAACTCCTGAGAAGAGGTTTTTCTCCTAATGTATCAACTTTCACCAATATCATAAGTGGATTTTCTAAGGAGGGAAACTTTGAAGAAGCATTTCTTGTGTGGTCATACATGAGTGAGCATGGTATGAGACCTGATGTTGTGACATGCAGTTCTCTTCTTCATGGGTATTGCAAGGCTGGCCATATGGATGGAGCAACTGTCTTGTTTCGTAAGATGCTGGATGCTGGATTAGATGCAGACATTGTATTGTACAATACTCTCATTAATGGATTTTGCAATCAAGGAAACATGGATGATGCTTGTCACTTAATAAGTATGATGGCAGAAAAAAATGTGATTCCAAATTATGTTACTTATAAAGCACTTGTTCGTGGTTTTGAGAAAAAATGTATTGACAATCCTGTCAAAAATGCAGCTATTAAGATGCAGAAAATACTGCAGACAAATGGCATTGATGTTGATATTTCTCAATATATGTCAACAACATAGCAGTTAGAGTGGTATGAAATTTAAAGCTAGGTTTTGCCTGTCTTTATTTTCTCATTTTCATTTCTTTTTTCCTTTCCTTTTGTTCTTCCACTGTTAATTTTGTTGTTTTTTTTGTTCTTTTCAGGTGGTTATTCTGGGGAAAATACAAGAACTGCAATGTATGGATCTAAAGTGGAAATATAAAATTGACGTTGTTGGGCTTGACCTTGCCCATGCGATTTTACATTGAGATGTGAAAATCAGTTTATCTTAGCCTGAATGTGTTATGTGGCCAGTGCTAGATGCTAAAGTAAGAGCTTTGGAGGACATACCATGGAGATACATTTGTGAACCATGAGTACTGAAGTGAAGAATTGTCTTCTTGGTCATAAATTTATGGAATCCAAAACTACAACCAGGCTAACAGAATGAACTTGTTGAAGACTAAAACCAATTCCAGTACTGACATATTGTATGTAACTTCTACCTTCTTGAAGAATAACATATTTAGTTGTCACTAAGTCAAGATGACTTAGAGAACTTGATCTAATCTGACCTATTATGTGGCATCTGGGACAGGTGCCGATTCTGATGGAGTGGTTCTTGGTCCCATTCTTTTAGAACCAATATTAATTGGATTGGTACCATATTTACCTTGTTAAGAACTGGTAAGGATCCATACTGATAATAAATAAAGGTTAAAAACTATATTTTTATATACCTACATATATTCTATTTAGTAGGTTGCTTATAACTGGTCTAATCAATGTTAGATTTGATAAAGCCTGATTTTATAGGACCCTATAGATTGATCAATATATATAAGTATAGGATCTGGTCTGGTTCTGGGTCTACCATTCTACCCTAATCCAGTCCAAACATGACTAGTTGACAGCTCTAAATGTATCATTAAAATGTGGTTTAATTTCTCTTATTGCCTATGTATTTGAAAAAGGTGGTAGTCATGCTGAATTTTTGGAAACCAAAATTATGAAATAAGTATAATTTTCTGTATCATCTATACTCCAACCATGGAAACTTTGAACTCTCTCCTTCTCCTGTGACATTTACTTTTAGGTATTTACATATTGAATGTTTGAACTGTTTGTTTGCTCAACATATTGTGTGCATTCAAATTAGGCTCCTAATTCATATTTTTATTGTTGTTACTCTCTAGACTTCCTTTGAGTTCACAATTAGAGGTGAATTTTGGATGGGCTTTAATTTGGTATTTTTCTTAACAGTACATGGATTCTTACAAAGATCTACTCTATAAATGGCATGAACTTCAGATTGAGAAGTTGGGGGGGTGCGTATCCAGTTTTCCAGTAACTTTCCAGGTTTAGCATTGATATTGCAAGATCCTAACAATGCTATAAACCATGTTAGTTAGGTGAGTTCTCAAAGCTTTTTTCTTTTAATTACTTTTTTTTACCATAATCTTATTGTACACCTTAATGTCTCATCAGAGGTGGCTCAACCCTGGTGATACTTACAGAGATAGAAAAAGAGAGAAAAGCCTCTTTATGTGGCATCTTCTTTTTCTGACATTTCTGTCTTTTTTAACATTTCACTGCATCCCTGCTGTTCTTTTCTGAAGGTTTTATTTTCCTTATTGTCCCTTGTCATTGTGACAAGAGACATCTTTAACAATGATTCTTGTGGTTCTTAAACATCAACTGAGTTGGTCCACTCACTTTTTATTTCAACTTCAGTCTTGTTCTCCTTGAAGGAGGATATTTTATTTTTTATATACACAAATATGGAACCTTTCATAAATTGCTATTTTGTTTATAAATACATATGTTTTATTCCTTGAAGAAAGGATTTATATGTCGTCAAATACACGCAATGGTTCTGAAGAAATTTCAACAAATTTGGGATTTCTTTTTTCAGGTTTGAGCAGTTTTGGGTATTTTGTCATTTGAGACATTTGATCAAACTCTGTCTCTTGTTTAACATTTTCTGTATTGAGTGATTCCAGATAGGAGAAGATGTGGAAGGAAGTGACAGTGAATCCAGATAAAGAAGTTAGAGATCGACTCAGGCTGTTGAATTTAGTTTGGTCGGTCATTTCATAAATTCCGACCCAGATGTGGAGAAGATCGAAGAGTGGACCGCTGCTGAGTGGTGACCTGAGAAACCTTTTCACATGAGGAAGCTAAATGCTGGTTTCTTGTTCATCTTCAAAAGCAAGGAGGAGGCAAGCAACATCCTGATGAATGAACAAAATAAGTTTCGAGAACCTTATCTCAGAATCGGGAGATGGAGTCCTTTAGTTGGAGCATTCAGGGATATGGTCCTCTGAATATGGTGTGGATTACTATTTTCGGGATACCTTTGCACATGTGGAGCTTCCAAACTTTTAAGATAGTGGGAGACACATGTGGAAGATTCAGATTTGTTGACTCTGGAACAATTTCGTGGAGAAACCTTTCTGTTGGTTGTATCTTAATTGAAGTTGAAGAGATCCACCTTGTTCCTACTTCCCTAACTCTCCGTTTCGCTGGTGAATCTTTCGACTTGAGACTGGTCATAGATGGATCTTACTCAACGAGATGGATCGAAAATATGGAATTGTTGAGGAGGCCCAAATGATCAGGTTGGGTTCTGGCGATATTGGAGGGAAGACGAATAGTCAGATCGAAAGGGAAGGGCGCGAGGTTGAAGACAAGGGTATTTTAGGAAGCAAAGATATCTATGGTTCGGTTGGGGTCTTTACCTTGGGCCACATAATGGATAGTGAATGAAGAGTTCCAAAGAGAAATAAAAGTGGTGGGGCCCATGTGAACTTAAGTGGTGAGGTGAATTGGCTGGGACACGTGGAAGAAGAAATAAGGCTATGTTTGGTTTGAAGGAAAAAGGTAGGGAAAGGAAGGGAAAGATAGGGAAACCTATACAAGGTTTGTAAAGGTTTCCCTATCTTTCTTTTCCTTTCCCTACTTTTTCCTTCAAACCAAACACAGTCTAAAGGAGAGAACTAGGAAGATGAAAGAAAAGGAAAAATTGGGAATTTCAGAAGACAAAGTGATGACACGGGTAGGAAAAGATGGTGAAGGTTTGATTTTGGACCAAGCTTCGAAGACAAAGTTTATCAATATTGTTGGAGAGTTATCTACGAAGCATCAATTAATGGTTTTGAACAAGAGAAAGTTCAAGTGATCTTGAAGTTTTAGGCGCACAATTCAGTTTGAAATCCCTGGGAAGAGGCTTTGGAATCTGAGAGTCGATGCTGCTTGTGAAGAATTTCAGAAGAGTGATCAATGTGGAAGATTCATTGAACCTCTTAATCTAAGAGAACACGACGATGAAAGGAAAAGGAGAGGACAGGTAATAATCAACGAGCAGGTAAGTTTATCTCTTTTGGTGACTTCGTAGTTGAGCTCTCCTCCTTTTCGTCACAGACATGGAGTTTGGAGGAGGAGGATCAAATGACTGTTTGTCTAGAAGGTTCAGAAGGTTAGAAGGAAGGGAGGTGGTTTCTAAGGAAGTAGCGGAGGAGTTAGTGGTTCCTTCTGTACGCTACTGAACATGGCGATGAGGTTGCGAGCGAGGCTTTGGACAAGAACGGCAAAAGTGATTCATCTCTGGACTGCGAGGGTTATCAGAAGTTTGAAATTTCAGCTGGTAGGATTGGAATACATCTAGGGTGGAGAAGAGCTGTGAACAAGGAAGGTTCCGTAGGACCTATAGAAGGAGCGGAAAAACTAGAGAGACAAACAAGTGTTACCTTGTCCATGTATCTAAGGTTTTCTCAAGGCTAAAAGACGGTTTGATTGGGCAGGTCCTCCCAACAAATATGAACGAGTGTACAGAAGGAAGAGATTAAAAGGCTTAGATGCAAAGAAAAAGGGCGATGAAAGGAGGGGGGGGAGCTTCAAGTTGCCGTAGGGGAGATAAAGTCGACCCTGACAAAAGAAGGGCTGGAGGTTAGACTAGAGTCAGGGGATAAGAAGGAAGAGGGAGGTCAAGCTGGTGAGAGTAGCCTTACTTTGTCTCAACAAGCTGACAAGGAGGTGGAGAAAGCGTAGATTAAGACCTTGGTGGACAGGGGGGGGTTAGAATTGGCAAGAGTTTAGGACTATTCTTTTGGGGAGGCAAAGAGTTTGCTAGAAGAGATTTTGAAAAATTTGAATTGAGTAAAAGGGGAGAGAAATTGAAGAAGATGATGCGACGGAAAGAAGAAAAAGTTTGGGATGAGGAAGATGATGGGCAGGACAAGTCATTTGATCCTAAAGACTAGCCAATGTATGAAAGGGGGGGGGAGTTCCCAGTCTTTCTTTTTGTTAGTTTTGCGTCTTTGAAAGCCTTTCTGTATGAACGGGGGGGGCTCTCAGTACTTCTTTTCGTTAGTTTCATGTTGCTGTATGAAGGGGGGGGGGGGGGATTTCTCAGTCTTTCTTTGGTTAGTCATGTTCATTGTAAGTCTTGCTGTTGTTGGTAGTGGGTTCGGGTGTTATCTTAACACCCTTGTCAGTGCTGTAATCTGATTTTTATTTTATCAATAAATTATTTCTTTTATTCTTAAAAAATGGAATACCGAGAAGTCTTCTTTTTTTCATTATGATGTCAGACAACTTTGATATTGATATTCAAATTGAGAATTGAACCTTACACATTTTATTTTACTGACATCATGTTAAGACTTCAAATGGTTTGGTTGTGTTTGAATTTGAATGTCAAGCACTAAACAGTTAAATCTTCATACTTACTGAATTGACATTGTCTATGTCCATCAGCTGGAACTTGGTTCAACCTGTTGGTGTCACCCAATATGGCATTCAAGTAGCTGTTCATGTTTCTAACTGGTTCTCTACTTTTTAAGTGGAGTTGCATGAACTTATAACATTTGGACCTTCAGGTAATCTCTTTTCTCGCCAAGTAGTCACAGTGTTTCTATGGGAATAGTTGCAGGATCAGAATCCAATGTGTGTCTGTGTGTCAGACTCAGCAAGAAGAAGAAACAAGGAATCATAGATACATCTATAGAAAAGTATAAACTATTGAAACAGTGTATATTATGTCAAATAAGCAAGTATATAAAGGAAAATGGATGTTCATGGTTCAAAGTATCGAAGCACTCGATTCAATACACAATTTTTGCATATCAGGCATTTCAAACAGGTAATATACTAAGATAAAAAATTAATTAGGCTCTGAGAATTGAGCCAGGACATCTCTAAAAAGGATTAACCTTTGAAACTGGCCAGATATCCTTAATCCATCTATTCAGCATATCAGGAGCCCAAAGATACAATATGATACGCCCGATAGCAGGCGTAGCATGTATTTGATACTTTGAACCTTGTGTATATTGTCCAACATGGACACTTCATCCATGTTGGAAATCCATGCAACATTGACTAGTCGTTAGGGTAATAGTGTCATTTTGCACTTTCTGTTGCTTAGGAGTCTTAGAGAGGAGCTCAAAAGCCTTTTTCAAAGGGGAGGTCAGTGAAGTCTGAAAACATAGGTCAGGCTGTAATTTTTGGTTGAAATATTAGTTTAAATAAAAATAATTTTCTCATAATGTTCTAATTTGATAATTCCTGCATAATGTCTATTTTCCAAATACTGTCTCCATCCTCAGAATAAAAGGTTCTAATAAAAGTGTGCTTAAAAGGCTCTAGAGTATGGACATCTGATTGGATTTTTTTTTGGCATGGAAAAGCATCTTAGTCTGACATTCCATTCATTTATCTATGACCAAAAGAGAAAAGGCTAGGGGAACTTGTATTATAACCACTCATCTCACTTAAGGGCCATTGTTTTTTCAAAACATCTGAGAAAACGGAAAAGGAGGGTCAGCATAATTTTTAATTAACCAAAAATCCCATGGTTTATTGTACTTTCCAGGTGAAATGATGTAAGGCCCTAATTGGGCTAATTTTTTGCCATTCAAGTTTCAGAAGCATTCCGGTACCAAGAGTACTGCAGGAAAGATTTAGAGTCAAACAGTCCATAAACATAAAGATTTGAATAAAGTATTGTTTGTTCAGGATCCATCATTATTGCTGTAGATACTCCGTCATAATTCACCCAGATTGCATGAAAACCACTAGTTTGGACACATGCAAAGGTCTTAACTAAAACTTTCTTGTTACTATTAAACACATGGGGACCAACTTTGATACATGTAAAGTTCCTAATAGGTTATTTTGCCTTCTGTCCACTACATGGTCAACCATCTTTTTCTTTACCATCAACTAATTTCCTGACTTTAATTAGAGAAGATCATTACTGTTTCAGTCTCCTATGTTATTTTTTTTTTTGATCAATATCAGTCTCCTATGTTATTCCTGATTTGGAATCAGAACAGTTATTCTGTTACTAAATCCCACCCTCCTCTCTTACTAAATCCTTCTTTCTGCAATCTTCCAGTTCAATCAAAACTAAAACAATGTTCAGCCACTTAATACTCTGTTCTCAATTCTTCATTTTTTTTTTATTACTGTTATTCTTTGTTTGACTTCACTTTAATCTATGCTCTGATCAAGTTTTGGTTGCTTTTGTTGTTTGACTTCACCAAGGTAGATAGAAAATTGGTTAGAAGCTTTTGGAGAGAAAGACATACTAATTGGAGCTTTGCACCATCATGGAGAGCTTCAGAGGGCATAATAACAGCTTTGCACCATCATGGGAAGCTTCAAAGGGCATGATAACAGTTTGCAAGGAGGAAATGGTACAACGCATTGAGGAATTGATAGACATACTAAGGCCGAGAATGGGGACTGTGTCCACTTGCTGATCTCCTGTTCCTTTGCTACAGCTATATGGAGGTGGAGCTTTTGTTTATTTGGAGGTAGGTGGTCTTTGCCTTCTGATTTAAGCTTGTTATTTCAACCCATCCGTCTTTGTTTGGCACACTAGAAGAGGTAAGGTCATGTGGAAATGTGTCAGGGCAGCCACTTTGTAGACTCTTTGGGAGGAAAGGAATGCAAGAATCTTCTTAGAGAAGGAAAGAGGATTAGATGAAATGAAGGATTGTATCATAACAAGAGCAATCCATTGGCTGAAAACTGTGGATATCTTTGATGACTTCTCCTTTAATGATTTGTAGAGAAATTGGCTAGTAATAGCTAACAATTCAACAAAGAAGGATAGAATTCTGTCAGAATGGATTTCGCTTGTGGAAGGTGTCATCAAGCTGAACTTTGATGGAAGTAGCCAAGGCAATCCCGGGCCTTCATGTATAGGGGGTATCCTGAGAAATAAGGACATCAACATAATTTCCCTACTCTCAGGACCGGTGGGAGCGGGGGATTCCACTAGGGTAGAAATCCTTGTTGCAGTACAAGGAATTCAGATCGCCAACCAGCTTGGGGTGGAGCATCTCCTAGTTGAAGGGGACTCTCAGGTGGTAACCAGGTGGCTCCGAAACTTGGATACCACCATTTGGGGCTA